TATATATCCTTATTTATAAAGCGTCTGTAAAATAATAGCACAATTAAATTCAATTACTACATACATAAGATATTTATATCAAATAATGTCTCGATAATATGTATTCATGTACTCTTCAATTATTCCCGGGTTTACCGCTTGATAGTCACGAAAAATTCAAATCTGGTTATCTTTAACAGTATCTCATCGATAACAGCAGTAACCTTTTATCTTTTCGGTATAAAGTTTCATTTTACGATTCATGAAACTTTTAAAAGGAAACATGTAATCGCTCGAGTCATTGAACAGGTAATTTTTTACACATAATAGGTATTCGAGAGCGGCGCTTGAATGGGTTTCGACAAAAAAATTTTCGACAGTAAACAACACGAGAGAATTTATGTTTCTCTCACGTCTCTTTTTTTTATAATTGATTTTTCTGAAGATACATATGCGTCGCCGGCGTGATAAATGCAAAATCAGATAGTTCGCTATCAGTGGAAGTTTTGTACGTTGCTTTCGTATCTTTTTCCAAGCATTTTTGCTCGTTTTATTTTATGCATGTGTACGTATGTACATATAGTAAACTGCGAGTGTCGACATCAATCGCATACAATATCGAGAAAAAGTTTCTTGACAGAAATGTATACTTGTTAAAAGTACAGAGTTGGTAGTAATCGATAATGTTAGAAATTATTGATACAATTATCTCGTGCCACTCGTGCAATACATTACGTAAAATCGCTTGGAATCGTTCTCGAGGAACTACCAACGATCACAGCACAATATTATGTAAGGATGATAACAGAAAATTCATCTGCATATACAACTAGGATGTTTGCTAATTACCTGGGCATCTCTCGTGAACAAGTAGCTTGAGTCAAACTGAATAAAAAAATTCTTTACTGAATTACTCAATTGTTAATGAGAAATTAATTAATATAAATCTGCGAGTAAGAGTGCATCCCCACGATTCAGCGACAAGAGATTTTGTACATAAAATTATTTCATAAAATTTGAAGAACATAGTCGATAAATACATAATTTTAAACTTGGAATATTAGCGAATATAATTCAAATTGCAGGTTGTGGATCAGCGTCAGTCCTTAATAGCCGGTGATTATACGCCTCACCCCTCGCTCCGCTTCGCGCATCGAGGAGCACTTCCGGCATCCTCGCGCGTCGATTGTTCGCGGGCGAATCCGCGGCCGCTACGCTCCTGATTAAGGGGGGTCGGAAGTCGAAGGTTGAAAGGTAAGCGTATAGATAACAACGGCGGCACACGGCAACGCGTGCATGTCCGTAGCGAAAATCGTGCGCCGGTATGCCGGCGAACGTCGGGACGTCGGCGACTACCGCAACTCCCCTTGGATCGCACGAGGGTAGTCGGCAGTCGCGTGTACCCGTAGTCGCGAGGGGGTGGCCGACCGCGTTTGAAGCGCCCGTATACGTAAGAATGTAATCGGCTCGGCGAGAACTACTCCGGCCGTCGCTCGCACGTCCCGTGGAATTCATCGTTTCTGCCGTGGTGGCACGCGAGAAATCGTAATAATCATAGTCGCGGGGGATGGGAGGGCACACGTCGCGCCCGATTCGCGCGCGAGAAGTACGTCTCAGCCCTTAAACGAGGGGAAAGAGTGCCGTCGAGGACGAAGACGGTACCGCCGAACCCCGAGATCGATCCCCCTCGTTCACGCGCATCCCGGACCGCATTTACAGTACAATCGTGCTGTCAGCTTCGGTTATTATTGACCGTAAGACGAGGTATTGATCGGCTTGTTCCCTTGAGTGACGTGCAACGTGGTATCGAATCGGTGCTCGGCAGCGAATTCGGCACTAGAATCGATAGTCTACGCGAGCCTGTCTGTCTCTCCGATTTCGCCACCCGCGTCTGCCGCGAGCAGCGGTATAAAATTTATATTTGATCGCTACGTGACTTGGTGACTGGAATCCGCTTATCTCTCCCCGCTGCTCGTTCCATTGAATAGTATTACTGCAATGGTATTACTTGCGCGCCGAGCTTATATCGGGCTCTAATGGCAGGCGATCGGCTCCACGGAACGAAACCGGGTATTCATTGATGCCGGTAATGCACGCGGCTCGACTGTATACGAGCCACGGTAACGCTTTTAGCGATCTTGCACTTCTTCACTTGACACCTTGCATGTTTAATTCCACTACGTGCCATCGCGCGTTTGCACGTGCAAGCGAAAAGGGAAAAGCGATTTGCAAAGCTTAAGTAGAACTTCTGGCTTTTAACTCGATCCTAATCGTAAAACTCAGACGTCTTTTTTTTTTTTCATCGCTGCCAGAGAAAATAGCGTTGTACCATATCGCCTTGTACGACGGAAATGCTTCTCGCTAATAGAAGGCTGATAAGAGCGAGGTGCGATAAGCAGAAACGTTACAAACTCGCGTCGCGACATGCGATCCGGAATAGTTTTAATCGGTACGATATGTAGGATAATGTGTCGCATCGTCAGTATAAGTGCCTACTGCTATTTGCGGAGAAACACTCGCCCCGGGTTTTTCCTCACTTCTGTGATTTTACTTTTTGTATTTTGACCCCTCGGACACAATCAGCAACTCGGAGGTTCGCATCAGGGAGTCGGTTTTATGGTCAATTGTACCGTTAAGTACATTTGCGGCTTATTTATGGATCGCGGGAAGTGTTATTGTTTGTGGTGCATCGCATTTGTTCGTAAATCCGTATCTGAATGTAGAGATCAGAATAAAGCACGTTTATTTTCTCCATTCTGTATACACAAGTACCCAGCTAGATCATTGAATATCTATTCAAACTGGATTTTAAGCAACTAAAAATAATTTTCGAATATTTATAGTCAGCTGTATCAGAACTCTTCTGTATTTTACATATAAAAAGAAGCAAAAAACTCACATTTTGTTTATATTTATTGCTTATATTTAGATCAATAGATCTTTTATTTTAAATTTTGTAACTTTGATCTCAGGTTCATAATTATTTGAAAAACCTATAAATACTAAGTCTAATATAAATCGATGCAAAAATTATACTTGATCTACTTGATGGTTGTCATATTGAATCCGCTTTTTAAATTTCATAATTTTAACCTCAGATTCGTAATCAGACCACAAAAACCTATAAATATATTATTTTTACCTAATTCAATAACATTCTACAAAATTCTATTCGTACAAAATCACGAGACGTTATAATATCTCGAAGTCATACATCTGGTTATGTGTTAAACATATATTTTAGAACGAAATTTTCGTGATTTAAGAAAAAAAAAACTATGTCTTCTATAAAAACTAGACAAGCTGATGAATATAGTTCTAATTATAATGGCAAAATATTAGATATTTCTTTTGAAGCATTCTGTTTAATAATATAGAATACGGATGATTTTCTTCGAGAAATTATATTTTTCTTATTTGAAAATGTTTATATTTTACAAACCTTAAATACATAATTGAATATAACTCTTTTATATGTCATATTATACGTACAGTTATAGCCTGACCCCAGTGTGTGTAACTCAGTATTTATTAATCTAAAATAATGATATAATTAGATTAACAATAAAGCACGAATGTATTGTGTATGAATATTGATCGAAGTTTTCAGCATTTTAAGATTTTAGTATTTTTGCAGACGGCTAATCGTTATGATTTAATCTTAATTATGATTAATTAAGTTTCTTCAGTTTTCATGACACACGAAATTCTAGGGGATGACGTTTTATTTAAAAAATACAGAAGCAAGAGGAAATACAAAATACTTTGTTACAGTGTAGATACCAATCTGATGCACGACAAAGCAATAAAATATACAATAGAAGTTATATAACAGTTGTTTTCGCGTGACAGATAAAAGTGATTTATTAAACGTGATCGGAATATAAAGTCGGCGACGCGCCATTATTTATAGCGGTCGAATGCAATAAGCCTGCGCTTTTCAATCGCATGTTCTACACATCTTCCTACACATTTCTCTCCTCTCTTCTCTAAATAATACAAAAAAAATCTCAAAACGCGTAGGCATACCGTCGCATGCGGAAAAGTGCCGCGAGAAACATGAAATATAGCGCAATGCTCGTAATTTAAATGTCGGCATCCTAATCCAATTACGCAATTGTTTCGTGCACGCCGGGTTTGCAGTGTCGGGACACGTGGAATTAAATCGTAGCTCAAGCGTTCGAATGAATGAACAAAGCTTCGGGGGCTTCGTGCAGACGGAGAGCAGAGGGGTGGATTTGCACGACTCGTTTTTTATATCGAGAAACGATATATAAAACCCGGATGTCTCGATTACAGCGCGGTGTCCTGGCATCGGCACACCTATTACACCGTCAACTACGTACTACAACGGCATCGTATCTCCCGCGGGAAGAGCGATATTCTGTTAAATCGATAACGAATGATGACAGAACCACGTGCTGCGGCATGCGACTTGTACCAAGTCGCTCCTGGCCCTATTTTGGCATTCGATATTCGAAGCTGGCATGCCTGAAGAGTATACGCGTCACGTTGCGTCGGGATATCGTCGGGATACAGCCGCGCTGTACGATCCTTTGTTTCTCTTTCCCTCCTCCCCCGTCCGTCGGGAGGCCGGGATAGGATATACTTAAATGGCGCAGGAAGTTCCTGAGACAACGTACGAGCCGGAAGTCGAAGAAGACGCGAGGAGAAAGCGCGAGCGCCGTGTTGTTCAGGAGGGCACGGCGTTATGGAGGCGACGGAAGGAGGAGCTGCAACGTCAAAAGCACCGCGAGCAACGTGAAGTATGTGTCACACAAATGGGCGTTTCTGGTTTGGCCACGTTGCTGCCGTTTATACCACTTGCCCTACGGCCTCGACCTCCCCCTTAACGTCATTGTCTCGCCTTGCTATTGTTACCGATCGGATAAGGGTCTACTGCGAGAGATACGGCCTCGGGATATATTCGTTGAACCGGAACGTCATTAGAGCGAAGACGGGCGCGGACTTTGGAAATTAATCCTTCGCCAGAGTCTGTAAACGGTCGGAGACATTAAAATTCAACAGCGTCACTTTGAATTTGGCGGTTAAAAATTCGAAATCGTATTTTTCTGATATCATATCACGGGATGAATGGCACAAATATTTATAATTTGTTCATAAATAAACTATATTTAGTCTAACATTCAAGCGAATAAAAGAATTAGCAGCAAATGAGAACATTTGAAATGAGATCAATATTACTCGATGAGAATAATACTTCCGAAATGGAAAATTGAGAATACTGAATTATGACAAATATATCAAATAAATCAAGTGACCTTTTCGCTTATTCCCATTATAGACGTGTTTTGAAAATGTCGCTGTAATTCCAGTACGTGTCTGACCCAGTTGCGTTTATTTCTACGTTTCACGGGGCGTGTCGTTGAATTCGGAGAGCGGGAAATTACGTGCGAGCGAACGGTAATAAAGCCATCCCATTAAAGTGGATTTGCATAATCTCCGTCTCTAACTGTCTTAAGAAACAAGCCGCGAAAGATAACCCAATAATCTATCACGGTCTCTCCTTTACACAAACTGCATGTCTCGTCCCGCGTGCTCGTTACAAACTTATAACAAACGCTGCACCAGCGCTCGTTAAGTGTTGGGGTCGCGTTAATAGTAATCTACGAACTGATCGCCGGCGCAAACTGTAATTAGAAATAAAATCGATGCATTACGTTGAATGTTCAGGGAAGCGTCCACGCAGACTCCTGGAAAATCTACGAGCGCGATTCGAGTTCGGGATAATTTATAAATTACGTCCCCTTTAAATCGTTTTATCAATATTTGATTTTCTTCAATTCCGTAGAGGTAACTTGTAAAACCAACATTTCCGGATTGTTTCTTTCGGATAATTTTTTTATGTTTTATACGCCAATTATATCCGGCATTTAAAATCTCACGTATTCTCTCTCTCTCATTTTATTTTGGTATTGATGCAGCATAATGATGATGCGCAATCATCACCGGGGCGGTCCTAAATATTTGCAGAACACGCGCTCGTTACATTCATTACCATCCCCCTGTGAAAATAACAATCCGCGCGGAATATATTGTAAAAATGCATACGCGTACACGCGCGCATATACATATATATGAATATATAATATGTATATGCGCACATGGGTGTATCCAGTTCACCGTAATACCTGTCGCGTATACTTTGTCCGCCGTTTCAATCACTCAAAATACATGTCGAAATTATGCCGATGAAAATCCCAGCGTAATTATTGCTTCGGTGATTATTTCGTATCGTTAATGCAACACGTCGACCGTATTAAATTGTATTTACTGCATACGGAGGGAGGAGGAGGTGGCGGTCGGAATTTATCGTGTAACCGGTATGCTAATAAAGACAGGCCGAGGGATTACTCGCGGTCCCATCCCTCTTATTACTCGGGAATCTGGTGCGGCCGCGGTCTGGTGCAAGTGCACGCGGTCGAATGCAAGTGCGTTAGCAATGCTGCCGGGAAGGGCTGATACGCTCAGGGTTAATCCTATCTGCCCGCAGGGTTCTCCGTATGATCACACTGACGACGCTAAACGCTTCTAAGTTAAACCTCGAACGACTTCCCTTCCAAGCGCAGAAGCTGTCTTTAATTTGCGGCGCCGTGCTAGACGCTGCATGCATTTTCGATCTATTACGAGCGCGATAGCAGCTTATTTCACGCATACCGGTCACACGCGGTGCTCTATCGCGCATTTAAACGAATTTTCTGAGAACTAGTAAGAATTTAATTTAAAGAAATTCTTCGTTTTATTGCAGCTTTTATTTGCGCAACGGAAAAATTCAAAATTCAGACACGCGAAATGCGTGATTACCGCGCAAGATGTAACTGCAGTCGCGCCGGCTGACGTTCGCGTAGTTCAGCCGCGACGACTTTACGTAATTAGAAATTAGATTCCTAATTTCTTTTTTTCCCTTGCAGCTACAGGAAATTCTGGCCAATTACTCGCCGTGGGGTAAACCAGGTGGCGGCGCACCCTGCGCGGCTACTCTGAGAAAGAAAAACGTGCCTCTGGAGCCGCTCGAGCCGCCGGGATATCACAGTTTCGGTCAGGTAAAACTAGAGAGGCCCGTAGCTGTCATTTTTCTTTCCGCTCGCACCCTCGTCGCGAAACTTTCGTCCCCGTAAATCCGACCCCGGCCGGCACGATCGCATGCACGTTACTCGTCTCTGAAAACTTTCGGGCTCGCTTACGCACGTCGTCACGCTGATGCACGCGAGAACGGCGTTACCCGCGCGAATAAGATTTGTCGTCGCGTTTTTAATACTTCCGCGCATCGGTGTTCCCGAGCCGATAATTTCCTGGAGCAAATGAGAGTTGAATAACTCGCGAGAGAACTTGAAGTTGAAGTGGCCGGCCGTCATACTGTCGTAAACGAAATGAATGTCGTTTATACGAAAGATAAGTTTCCGCGGACCTATTTCGATATGCGATTTGGGATGTTGCAAGAAAATCGCGATGTAATTATGAAAAAGAGAAGGAAGATTTCACTTTGCAGTGCAATTTTTTCGCAACATTTGAATCAATCAAATATACACGAAAAACTTGTGAAAAATGCACGAACTTGCTATTTCTTGCTATAAGAAAATTATTATGGATGGTTTAGTACGGGACTACGAAGATCATTCAAGTTTAATAATAAGCGTACGCGTTTTGATTGCGCGCGCCGAACAGCAGAGAGTTTACGTACAAATCGAGTTATTAAATCCGTACGCGGAGTACATGTATAAACACGTGTGGCCATGTATAAAACACAAGAGCCAGGAACGTTGTGTTATCACGCAACGTTGTGTGCCGCGTGTAAAATTTTCAGGCAGTACTACTGGTAATACAACATCCTGTTGGTACACACATTAGAATATTCTGTCTGGCATTTAAAGGATCGTCCATGGGGATGTCTCACTTTATTGATTTATTTTTGTTAGAAATATCAACAATTTCGTGACTCTTTGCGATAATTAATTTCTTCGGGACCGGAAGCCTAATATTAGGCGCTGGAGTGGCGCCGTTTTTTTCGTAGTTCAACCCACAAGGACAAAAATGTTCTAGCACTAAAACTAAAAAGATTGTTTAAAAAAAGGCGCCGGTTCTGTAGAGGTTAATTAGATTTTACTGAAAAATTGTGTACGTTATATAGAATTGAACGTATCATTATTTCAGTAAAGCACTGCTCTAAAATGTGGCTTTTACTCTAATTTTGTTTTTTTCCTAGAATATAAAATGGTTCACTTTTTTTCTAAAAACATTTATTAATATTTTAACAATGTTTATAATAATTAAACTAAATTCTTCATTGTTCAAATTAATTGGCGGTAGGTCTGTGAGTAAGGCATGGCCTGTTTAATAAATCTAGGAAATCTCTCGAGAGAGTTGCGGAGCGTTCTCTCTCAAAATAGTACAATACAATTGCATTATATTATCTATCTCGAACTCGTGTAAGTAATGATTACTGTGCAATCCTCTGAAGGCGCGGTGAGATTTTTTCTTGTTGTTTTCTTGATATTTTCGATATTCATCATCCGGATAAAAGCTTAATGCAGTCATACGCAGGATGATTAATGCATCAAATGATAAATTTTGGGATTATGTAATTAAATTTATTCTCTCTCTCTCAGCCAGAGACAGATGATGATACATCTGCTAGAATTAAAGTTTGCATGTTTACTTTTACTTATGTATAGTATTGTGAATCTTTATCCATCTTCTTCGCATTTTATGTGTATTACAGACTGTATATAAAGATTTATTAAGACTTATACAATATTATAAATCCCAAGCTCGACTTCTTTTACGAGTGATGAGTTTCTAGCACACAATTATATAATAACATTTTGTTGTCTTTTTATAAATCTACATGCATTTTATCTTTTAAATCCTTTATTAAATATTTAACGTTTGTCGTTTAATGTACTTTTTAAATTTAATTTAGTCTTATACGTTTATTTTACTTATTTTTATATTTTAGAGACACAATTTCATAAAATTTCCTGAGATTATACTCTTTATGATTTTTTAATTGATATCTTGAAAATAAATGCTCCTTTATATGATACTTTAATATATTCCGTAGATGGACATGTAGATATAGACAGAATTAATCTCTGGCACTATGGAGTAAAAATGTCCATGGAATTCACCTCCCTTGTTGTTTTGATTAAACGAGCTTCGTATTTCCATACAGATTTCCATACGTTTTCTTTACCGCGACATAAATACGTACGACCGTACGTAATTTTTTACTCGGCATAATTCATCAAAGAGAGAAAGAATACACACATATTTTTCTGATTTCTTAAACATACATTAAGATAAAAAAAAAATGAGAACGCATATGGGACAAATGCATAAAATACTTTTATACTTTTTTAGCGACTATTTAAATGTTTCATGTATTTCATTTTTGAATATCCTTTTTATATCAAAAGGTCGAAGGAATAGTGGTAATACAATTTGTATGTGCATTTGTCGCATATATTAAGTGCTAGCTACTTTTTTATATCTTCAGCAAACCTTAGAAGTTGTCATTAATGTTTGGCGCATACAAAACTAGGTCACGAATGTAGTCACGAACCGCATTTTTATTGAAGCGACAAAACATATTTTACTATTTATATGTTTTCCATGACATTTGCTGTATGCGAATATGCTTTAAAATACTTTAAATGCCATGCGATTATGCTTTTGAACATACATAAATGCACTTAATACTTATATTTATATATTTCGAGACTTAGTATAAAGAGCAAGAATATTTGCTCTATTCTGGGCGTATAACAAATACAAACAATGGCAGCGATCTGTTCTAGCTGATTAGTTATAGTCGCAGTTGCTTAAAAAAAAAAAATTTGTTTAAACGCATTCCCGCACATCTGGAGAAAATTTTCGCTTGCTTGCGTGTGCGTCGCCAATTAGATTTGCATCTTTGTGCGCTTGTGCGATCGTTATAACCGCGCAATATCGCCAGTATGCGAATTCATCGCTTCAAACGGCATCAGCTCTCCGCTCTCCCATAAAATTTCATACAAAGGCAAATTACGACATACGACTACTCCTGATTCTCGACGACACGAACCGTCTGGCAGACGTCGCGCTTGGAATAGCATAATAGCTCCGGAAGTCGCCTATATTACTGCACCGAATATTGCAAAGGCAGCACGTAGGGGGATTCCGATTTCTACGTTGGAGAAATAGGATAAGGGGAAGAAGAACACGCCCGATGTTGATTCGATCCGGTCGTAATCAACGTTAAGGGTCGACTGCACCGACACGACCTAACTCTCAGAGGATTAGTTTTAGCTCGGGTTAAATAAATTTCTTCGTCTTTAAACGAAGCGTTATTATCTGAGAAAAAAAAGAACAAGACGTTAAACGTAAATCTTTCTTAATTGATTCGAATTGTTTTACACAATACGAATAATTATCGGCCGTGTTAGCTATTCCGAAAGTTCTTGACGAAAAGTTTCGGAGCATATTATCCATAATGCAAATAAATGAAACAATTGTTTACATACGTATAATCAGTAACTGGCGTCAGTAATAAAAAATTATAAAAGTGTTCGCGTGAGTTTCCGTTTTTTTGGTTTTAGAAGTTACAGATAAGTTTATAGCAAAATTAAAATAACTACGTTTACACTGACTATGCGCAATTGCAAATCGGTAATTAGCATGATACTCACTCACTCCCACGAGTGAATTCGCGATTTTATCGTCTTCGCGCGCGTGTGTCGATCAAACGCGGTGATATCGCTCCGTCGCCTCGTCAGCGTAAGTTCCCATTAATATCTCATCTGACCTCGTACACACGATACCTTTCCGATACCGCAGACATGAAGTTTGTATTGCAATGTCATCATGTGATGCGGGACACGCGATGACGCGTGAAGTTTAGCAGGTCTCGCTTTATATAGAAAACTGGAAACTGCTAACTGTAGCTGGAAATTGCTTGCCGTAGCAGAGGTGGGTCAAAGGTTGTTATTTCGAGTGATATAATTTTAAATTTGTCAATATAAGAGCTTTTTCACCAACTGCTATTTGAGGTTTCGGGAGACGACAAGAAAATAAAAGAAATTTTGATCGTGCAGTAATTTTAATCCGCGGGTTAAATAAAACGTGATATTAATTAATTGATTTTTGCATGTTTGTTTTTATAAAATTAAAATTTACTCTACAAACGAACATTTCTATTCGATTAAATTCTATATATATGTTTGTAGTTATTTCAGTAAAATTGAATAAAAAACATTTTAGAGTAATGAAAATAATTATACTTTTTTCTGGTATTTTATAAAGAAAACATCATTAAAAGATGATTTTTTAATTAAAAAAAAAATATTAAAAGATTTTTAACTTCAATATACATTATAAATATTTTCATGATTTTTTTTTCATTAATTACCAAAAGAGACGCCTGTAATTGTGCGAGATTTTCGGGACAGACGAATCCGGAAGAGGGTGCAGAGGTTGATTCTTTCACTTGTGGAGGGTCGCAGCTATACCCAAATGAGTTGAGCTTTATTGTCGAACATGGTATCGACTCGTCATGCCAGCAAATACGAGAAATCTCGTAATGGACTTTCCTTGTATGTTGGACACGAGGCATTTTTCTCGTGGCAATAATTTCGAGAGAGCGGCTGTGCCGCCGGGGCCGAACACGTCGTATCCGCTCCAACTCGAGACGTATAGTCGATTTCTCCGATCACGTAGAACTAGAAACGCTACTTCCACAAAGTCGATTCTCCCCTGCCTACGGGTCCGCTGTGAAATTTTTGACGCACCCATATAGAATCGCGAAAAGGAAACGTTTTAACGACACCGTCCGGCGTCGTGTAAAAATGGTTTCTCTATTTGAACGAAAAAACCAGGACGCATGTCGAATTTTTTTCCGAGCTATGAAATAGGATAGCTTTGAATGCTCTAAGTGTTTCTCTCCTTTTCGTTTTTCGCTTCTTTTTCTAACGCGACGGTAGAATTTCGGGGTATACATTTTTCTAAAACGCGGACACGTCGCAAAATTCACAAGCGTGTGATAAGTACATAACATGTTATTTCGCCACTTCAATTTTCATAATGCGCGCTTCATATATTACGACAAAAATCAACATTGTTGGTTAGTTGAACTAAACCGATTTGCTCACATCTAAGCAGATTAAATAATAAACCGACTTGTTCTATTCAAGCTTAATCGAAGCGGAGTTCGAGAAGACGAGGACTTATAAAATATCTACTCGCATTATTGTTTCATCCAAGCTGAAACGGTTTACGCGGAAACAGGCTGGGAACAATCGATCCCACGGTCATTCCACGTATACCGACGAGGAGACGAAAAGGATTCGCGAAATTGGCGCAGTAGCTATACCGCGTGCACGAACATGTGCAAACATCGTATGATCGCCGCTCCGTTCCTCGCTGCATGTGCGGTGTAATTTTCGGGATTACGTGCCGGTTGTAGAAATTAGGCTGCGACCGCTAATCGGATGCAGATGAGGTTCTAACGCGAGCGCGGTGAGTTTCCTCGCATCCCCCTTCGCGTTTGGGACGCGATGACGGCGCGAGTATAGTGCACGCGGGGGAGGTCGAGGATAAGCGCGCGGGCGCGCGAATAGACGCCGAGCACGTGTTCCAGTATCACGCGACGACGATCCCGTAACGCGTACGCACACGTATAGGGGTAGAGGAAGCAAGCCTTGGAAACTGTTTAATATGCGATGGCGCCGTGTGCTTAGCTGGTGCATCCTTCGCCGTGGGGACGGCCTGGTCCTGGCGGAGCTCCTTGGAGGGATCCCAAGTCGCTGGGTGTGCGCTTCCTCGAATCCATGGTACGCATATCTATATCGTCGCGTTAATCGCACACGGGGACACCCGGAGATATACGCCGGTGTCTCGTTTCCGCATCCGCATCTGCTAATTACGGAAAGAGAATCCGTAATCATCGACGTCGCTTTGCGACTTCTCAAAGCGCTGGCGGGTTCTTTGTGCGCGCGATACTTCAGGAACGTTGCTCCAAGTCGCGTCGGGTGTGCGTTACTTCAATTATATACAGCGATGGCAGGCGCGAGGCGTTAACTCGTGCGCGGGTCGGGAAAACGAGCACGTAATAGATGTATTTTCCAGGGGGAGCTGAGTTATGTTTCTCCTTTTTCAAAAAACGAGATATTTTCAATACGCGAAGGGTAAGAAGATGTCGCACCGAAAAGAGGGAGTGTCTCATATTTTTGCACGATACAGAAATAAGATGTTCAAACGCGTCGCGTTTAAAGACACAGCTTTGAATCGATTGCCGTCGCTGTTTCTATTAATTACGTAAGATCTCTTTCTACATTTCCTTTATACAATTGGCAGATTAATAAGGCACGAAAATTTCATCTCGGATATTTATGCACGATAATGTAGCGTAACGGTGATGCGTTCTAGTGTTGACAATGCGTAATACATTACGGCACCGTTGTAGCGGCGTATAATGCAGTGCAATTTAGCGCATCGCCGCGCGACGTGCCGAACATACTTGTGATGCCAAAGCTGCGCCTCGAAAATTGTTAATTTAAGTTAATTTAAATATTACTCGTGTCAAAACCCTCTATCGATAAAATTATTTTATTTTTTGCAAACAAATTTTAGTCGTGAAATAAATATTAGTAAAATTTATTGTAATCAAGGCAGAATAAAAATTAATACAGAAAAGAGCGAGTAATTTTTGTCACAGACGCGGTATTTAAAAACGAATATTGCAGAATATTGGTAATGGAATATTGGTAAAGCCACTGTGAACACGTCGCTGTTTATGACGGTACAAAACCATTTGCTCTCAGTCGTCCCTCGATAAAATTTTCGAAGCGGGAAGGAGAGGGAAGGAAGGATAGATGCGACCCCGCTGTACTTTCGAGAACCGATTCCTACGTAATTGCACGTTTAAACAACAACCTCCTGCTGAGAAACCAATTGAAACGATAACGAAATTACATTGTCACGGCGAATGGGAGTATCCCGCGTCAGCCTGTACTGGCAACTTTGCATCAAAACTTTCTACCGCTGCGCGAGAGTAACCCTGTTAGATTGACGAACATTGGCCCCGAGGGGTCGCAAACTATAGACGTCGCGGTAATTGAAGGGTTCGCTGCGAGAGAGAGATAAGTCCATTTTGATATATTTTTCACAAAGACGATAGTCCGGAAATCTTCTTATTACGCTAAACATCGTGCAGCAGCGAGTCTAAATTGATTATCGCAGTTTCTAACTTAGAGATGTAGTAATATATTAATATGTTTCCTATCGTAATGCAGTTACACACAATGTTCAGGAATATAGGATGCACTTGGTGAATATGTACAGACGGTATTTTTGCCGAAAGAGGAAATAACATTTCTATACTTTTAAAATTAGCTTTTAAAAACATATTATTTGCGTTATCTTTTAGCTTAAAAAAGAAATTTCGTAAATATTTATGACTCAGCTTGCAACTCTTCTCTCTGTGTGACAGTTCCTTTAAAATTAACTGAGAAATAAAGCTCTTACCGATTTACTTTCTAAAATTATTTATATTGTTTTTAAGAAAAGCACTTCAACTCTCATTATAGTAACAAATTTTATTACGTGCACTTTAAATTATTATGATACTTGTATAATCGCATTTTTTTCTATGATTATATGAAAGAGAGACTTCCCGTATCGCAAATCAAGAATTTAGCGCGGTATCGCACGAAACTTTTCAATTATTTCCCTCGCTCGGCCGTGATCTGTTTCCATCGTTGGAGTCACGTATGCACCGGTAAATTATTTCACTTGGCGGAAAGATCATTGATTTTTTTACATCATCAAGAATGAAAGTATCAATCGCGGGAGAGGAGAAGTGCTCTTCGACGGATGAAGCCGAGCGGTAGGGAGGGGAATACAGGACGAAATACGGGAACATGAAGCGATACAAATTTATGTGAGAGCGCGAGGCGCGATATCTGTTGTTCGATACGCGCCCTCGTTAAAAACGAGGAAGTTATCTACTCCCTCTCACACGGTGAATTGCTGTGCAATTAATCCCGAGGTGAAGCGCAAGTAAATCGCCGTTGGCCACTTTTTTTCTGCGCGCTGTAATTTACCACGTAAAAGAGATACCACAGAAGGAGATACATAAAATAAAGAGGGAAAGGGGGGGGGGAGGAATGCGTTTTTGCTAAGAAATTAAATTGCGCTCGCACTAGTCGCCCTTCGCGCGGAGATGCGCCGAATCGTGGTTCATGAAATCTCTCCTCTTTCTTTCTTTTTTTTTTTTGCGAGCGCACGGCCGGTAAATGCAATAAACTGGTCGACGCGACGGAGAGAGAGAGAAAGAGAGAAGTCACGTATTTATTTGTACACCGCATGACGAATGCGGCTAATCTGACTGCGAAGCTCGGCCGGCGTTTTTCCGCGGGTGAAATTCTCGGGAAATCACTTTATCGTTCTGCGTTTTTTCCGATGAAGGGAACCGTAGAAACGTTGTGACCTATCTCTCTCAATATTATGCGAACCCGCGCGCGCGTGCGCGCACACGCGCCTTCGAACAGAAACAGAATTCACAACAGCGATTCTAATCGCCGATGCTGCGCGGCGATCTCGATTTTCCCGTATAATTTAATCAGTGATAAACAGCATTTGCAGATGGACGGTTTTGGAATTATGTATACGCCTAGTTTTGGACACTGACAGTTCCCAGTTAAATGTAAGTTCGTCAAGGAGATTGGCGTTCGATTTCGCGCATGTAATTTCCATAATTCCGTTTTCATCGAAACGAGACGACTAATATATCGCTCGTATAATGTTTCGCCGGTAAATTTACGGCTCGCTTGTGTACTCAATTAACTATCTTGGCGCGCGGAAACGGAAATGAGAATCGCGTATTACGCCCGTGTACAAGATCGGATAAGTCAATGTAAGACGGAGGGGGGGGGAGCAAAGTGCGCGCGGTGACACACTCGCGTGAAACTGATACACGCGCACACGCAAATTTCGAACGTCGCGTCGTCGCGGGTGGGGCTGCGCGTTAATTGCAAGGAGACACTGAATTCTCAATTGCCCGTAATGCGCGCACATAAATCTAAAGTTACTCTCGACCCGGTAGGATTTCAGGCAGGGCGATTTGCAGGAATCGGTATAAGTTTTTGCCGGCAGTGACACGTCGCGCCGGACAGATCTGCTGCTCCCGATTCTCGGGCAAGCGCGTCCACGACGGGTGGCGCGATCGATAGGCTGGCAACGATTTTCGCAACGGTGGATTTATCTCCGCGGAGCGTAACAATCGTGCGCACCACTTGATACGAAAGAGCGTGGCGTTATCAATTAAACGCGATCGGCCGTACGGTAATTCATTCGTTTCGCGAATATAAATCCGTCTCTTCGAGAACGCGCCGGGCGTTCGTACGTGCCACCGAAAAAAAAGAGGAGGACGTCGCAAGATTAGTCGCACTCGTGATAACGGTTCGCGGCCGCGGGTGATGGAACTCCTTCCTCGGGCTTCCCCCGGGCTCGTGGTTTCTGACGGCGGCCTCGAATGTCTCCTCGGAGAGAAGCATGCGGCTCTTAATTTTTAATTAACCGCTCCGCCGCCGCCTCTCGAACGTGCGCAACGCGCATAACTCCGGGCTAATTGAACGATCCTCCGGGCGCGCCTTCCTAAGCGCGACCGGAAAGTTTTAGACGGAAATTTATTAGCGCATTCCACTTTGGAAGCCAAGTTACCCTCTTATTACGCGCGCAGGCTCCTTCATATTATGCTTATACCGATCAGATGTATATCTCTTAAGCCCGTGGTGCTTCTTCCCGAATGCGCGCGTGCGACCTCCCTTTTCTGTCTCGTCGCCGTGTATACTTGTCTGCGGATATGGATTTATGGTGGGCGGATTTATAGCGTGGTTTTTTCCCTTATAATAAGCCGGCGAGCTTCGTTGTAACCAGCCTGCTGCTAACGAGACCGACATTGATGAATGAACGCGCAACTCGGGTCGGATCAAACCGCGAGTATACTACTGATTACGATGCCGGGGATTTCTTTTTAAACTGTTATTCTTTCTGCACTTCGATTTTACGTTTTCCCTAAGACTTATATGTATTCTGATGTGTTACATTAGTATTACTATATTGAAATATCGGCGCCAATCATATTTCGACAAGCGTTTTGAGATTCCGTACAGTTTATAGCACGTGATGATATAGAAAGTTTTGAAGATATAAAATAAAAAATCTAGTTGGAAAGAAATTATCTTAAACAAGAATGAAGTAATGTTCAGAAAACGCTTTTTTATATTACAAAAATATCAGAATTTTATGTTATATAAAATTATGTAATATCTTTTCAATATCTTTTTCTTTTCTTTTGTAAGGTGACATTTAAGATGTAGGTTACATCACGAGATTTTCATAAGACAGTTTAAAAAATGTTGTTAATTGAATAAAAACAATAAAATAGAAATTTATTTAAATGAGTGCTAAAAGATAAATACGTATAAAATGAAGTATAAATAAAGTACAAAGTAGCAAATTGGCGAACGGAATTAAACGTAATAATAAAGAGAAGAGAGGAGAACGCTAACTGGTTAAAAGCTTCAACTTGCTTCAGGGTTGGACGAGCAACTCCACGATCGACAGACTATACAAGAGGAACACGGACCCTCCGGCTGTTGTGGACGTGAATAAATTCTACGATGACAGGGCGTCGCCAGGTAAATAGCAGAGGTTGCCGCTTGCTTCTCGCTGCTACCGGAGCTTGAATCTCGTCTCCGTGTCGGTCTTTTGCCCCCAATAGGTATCGCTTCGGAAACACAACCGGTGCAGGACCCGAGGAATTTCTACAAGGAGGAGGTTCAGGTGTACGAGCTTACGGGTGGTGTCGAATTGGTACCTTTGTTAACCAGCAGACGCCATCAGTCGTATCCGCAGACCAGGCGCTACCTCGCCACGGATGCCACTCGTCCGGGATACACGATAGAATCGTAAGTACGGCGGAGGTGGTGGCCGTGTTTGAATATTGGCTTGTTTGTCCCCCAAAATGATCGATTCGTTGTCCGATGAATGCAAAACATTCCGTCGCTCTGCGTCGAATATCTAAATTTACGGAAACGGTAAATTCCGGATTTTGATACGTTACAAAATTGCTTAAATATAACTCCTCAATAATTGTAAAGTGACAATTGAATGTTATGCCTGTTTTTGTGCTTTTATATTAATACACTCGGGAATATCATGTTGTATAGCGTGTTAACACACACTGTCCAATCAGATTCATCGCGTCATGTGAAATTGCAAACGCTGAAGGTGACAGATGTTGAGATGATGGCATAATCAATAAACAGCATGCCTGGGTATAAATACGTAACTGGCTGTAATCACGTACATTTACTCATTACCGTAATTGATATTAAAAGCCCTTATTGTTGTCCCGCAATTTACTTGATGAAAATTTTATTGATCACTCATTTAGTCGAAAGTGCATTTGATATTTCGCATCCCTTCGACGGGAAGATATGCATGCCAGAGTGTTAGAACTGCAATTAAATAAATCTAAAGCGAACATCTCGCATAATATATCGCTACATATATTTTAAATATATTAGATTTCTATAATACTTTATATTTCGGAACATTTATTCGGAACCAAACATTCTCTCAGCTATTTCCACCATTTTTTATTCTCTCGTCCACTTTTTTAATCCTTGACGTGCTTTCTTTTTCTTTTTAAATTTTAACAATCTGACTTGAAAAGTCACCGGGGCGTTCTTCGTATAAAATGTAAAATGAAAAACAAGACGAGCAGAACGACGACGCGGGCATGACATCGCACGTTCGCATTTTGTCGCGTAGTAAATGTCAATTCTCGATCATATAATGCCGATGTATTTGCAATCAATTTTTCATCTGGCGTCCTCCTAAGTATGACAAACCCTACAAGACACGACGGTGACCGGAGAATTGGTTAGTGGCGATACGACACTCGGGGGATATAACTACATTACAGGTAATCAGCCAATTGACCCGGATGCACTCGACCTCGACCATTTCACCTGTTCCTGCTCAATCTCATCCTCATTTTCCTCCCTTGTGCGCTAACGTCGCTCCAAATATTCATCAGCATAATTTTCCGTCGCCATCGTAAAAGAATATTTTTCCACGAAGAATTTACTCCTCGGAGAGATATAGTCGACTCTCTAGGAAATGCCTGATCGGAAGGTTTTACCGTAAGCTTCCTGCATAAATATATCATTATATAGCGCCGTTTCACGCAAATATATTCTTGTTCTAAAATTTCTCGGGAAAAGTTTTAAATGTGAATTTCTTATTTCTCGCGGAATTACGCGTTATACATGTACTGAAATATTTATTCTGATATACACAATAAAATTATGTTTGAATGTATGACAATCTTTTATTTTTGAATAGAATTCTTCGACACGTGTACTTATACGCAATCATCATGCGAAGCGGGAGAGGGGGAGAGAGAGAGAGAACTTTTGTTTTATTTTAGCTGAAAGCTAAATGTATATTATGCAAATAGATTTTCTAAAATATTTTAATGCAAATTACGAACAGCTTTATACGTACACTACAGTGCAATCGTATATAATGTTTGAAATTGGATGTATGATATATCGAAGAGGGAAAGAGAAAGAGAGAGTTGCTAACGTGACTGTTAATATCATTGTCCTATCATAAACATTTTTAATGTTCAAAGTTCTCCGTCCAGTTGATTGAGTAATTAATGTGACTTTTTTCTGGCATTGCATCCAGATAGGGTAATGCTGATTTATCGTTCGATAAATCTGCGTGTAAACGGTCGCAGCGCCGGACGGGAACAGAAGCAGCACCAACCTGACATGTAACGAGACACTTTGATAACGTTTAATGGAATAGCGTATGAGAGAAAGTTGCGTTAGCGGAGGTGTGCGACGTAGTTTATAACACCAGTTGGCCGACATTCAAACGCTGCAACGCCTGTAGTAATTAATCACCCTCGATTATCTGTCACCGTGCGGCGATAACCCGGAGAAAAAACGCGGAGGCGCGAGCTCGGGGCGTTATTCACTTAAAAAAAAAAAGAGGCTTTTTACCGCGCTTCTATTTTATTTGCATGTGCCTCTCTTTTTTTTACGACGGTAAAATCGCGAAGGTACCTCGGCACCGCGGGCGCAAGTATTTAATTTGGCGACACACGAGGAACGATATTGCGTTCGATTGGTTCGCGTTCCCGAGCGCGCTATGCGAGGTATTCGTGCGAGTTATGAGCGCGAAGTCGTTAAATACTATTCAAAGCATCGAGAAAATATCGATGACTGCAGCCGTTCGAATGAAACGGCTCTTTTTTTCTAGCGCCAGTTGGCTTAATTTAGCGTTCGACTCCGAAACGAATCAGAGATGGATCGTCTGGGTCATGTCACCTACAATATTTATACGATTCACGACAATGCAGAGAGAGAAATAACGTCATTTACGGCCATTTATGCTATTTTCAGACTGGTTCTGGAAAATGTGATAGAGTCGAACACGGAAATAGAAGAACTCTTCTAAAAAAAAAAAAAATAACGCGAACAAGCCAACTTGAAAACAGGAAGAGTTTATACACAATATTTTTGATGTTAACATTTAACAATCTTTTTCCTTCTTAATCCTCTTACATTGCAATTAGAAACGTGGAGACCCTTTCTGTACATATCTGTAGTGTGTGTTTTTTTATAGTTTTACGTAAATAGGATTTAACGCCAGTTCCGAATAGCCTATTAGATGAGTTTTCACAACAAGATACTTTCGGTGGTTTGCAATTCCCTTCCGAGAACAATCATTTTACCGACATAGATATTATACTATTATTTTGAAGTAATTTTGTTACGCTCGCTCAAATATGGCATACTTTTCTTTTTTTTCGTTCGCAAAGATACCTCTTATTCTCGACTAAATTGAATATTTTATTTTCAACCATATTTGTCCGCGCACCCAAATCCTTCCGTCAGTCTCATTTGCATTCCATCTTCACGTTTTGGGTACGATGATATTAAATAGTTCGCTCAAGGAAACCCAATGTGGTTCGTCCTAGATAGCGGTGCTCCCCTCGAACCTTTATTTCCCGTAATCTGCGCCTCGGCGCACGTGCCCCCGTCATTTCCGCGGGGGGTGCCGTGCCCATCAAAGAAAGGATATGAAAGCTGAGTGTGACGGCTGTCTCTCCTTTTCTTTTATAGGTTTCGCGCGCTCGGTGTTGGCAATCGAGAATACATCGCGGATCTCGCCGAGCAAATACGTCGTAAGCGGGACAGGGCGTTGGTAAGTGCCGTATGATCGATGACGACTGCGCGACGTCGAACGGTAATTCGAAATGGGATTAATTGTACCGATCTCTCGGCAATCTCGTTACCGTCTGTTATATTGAATCATATTGATTATGCGTATCTCCACGTACCAACGCGACATTGCGGATGATGAAATCAAGCGGACGGTCCATAAGGATACTGTATTCGCTTAATCTGGATCGAAAATAAAACTGGATTTAAAAATACTTCATTTTTAATATCCGGTCAATTTTATCTCTTTCATCTCGATAATCCCATTATTCTATATTATTCTAAATAACGAAAAAATTTCAACTATGATGTGACAGACGATTGACCAATGCCGTAAATATAACTTGCATGTGACAATTCGAGTGAAAATGAATCTAAATTATATTAATACCAAATATTAAATTAATATAGTTACCATAAAATTTTAAAATATAAAATAAAAGAAGTATTTTAATGAAAATGTTATTTTTGAAATTCTATCTTAAATATTTCTTAGAAGTTTATCAATTCTTTTGTGTACGATATTTAAAAAAAGAACTTTGCTTATTTTATATCTAAATTGAATATTTAAATCCGTCTTTTTTATTCACTATACTTTACAAAATGAGAAACTCCAAACCGATATTGTATTTCGCAACTGTTCGACTACGCTTGCATGGAATATCTTCCTTTCTTTCAACATCGTCTAAGGTTACAAATCATTCTGTACTTGGATCTCGTTTCAGGAGGAACGGCGGATCGAACAGGAGAGTTGTCGTAGGCACTTCGATACTTGGAAAAGGCTATGGGGTAGACCGGGCCACGGTGCCCCCATAGATCACGCGCGGCGGAACAATCTCTACAACATCCTCCATCGACCGGCTATCTATTGAATTTCCCTGTAAAGCGTTTCGCCTTCGAGCGAGCGTAAAAGGCGGAGGTGACTCCGTCTCTCTACAAAATGCCGCCTTTTATTATACGAAAGGAGTGGAGGCTATTAGATACTGGCGACGAAACGCGAGATAGGGAGTATCGTTTCCACAGGGGATGGTAGCTGGGCATAATGCATAAATAGCTTTCAGTTCTTCTTCGCAGGATGATCGCGTGCCCGATGTGCATAATATCATCCCTCATTGAATGCAGATTAAAATCTCTTATGTGAACCGTTTATTTTCAAAGTCACGTAAATCAAGTTGTGTAACGTATGCAGTGTAACTAAAATTTGGGTGCAATGTTTGATTCATCGGTCTTAAATAAGATTTTAACGAAGATTATTTACATTATTTTCAAAATAAGCTGTTCATATAGTGCATATCAGAAATATACATATTAAAAGAAAAATGTATAGTAATGAAAATTATAATTTTTATTGAAAGTATCTTTCAACGTTGCTAATATTCAATATGTAACTACGCTGCGTAATTATAAAATCAAATGTTGCGAAGGAAAAAGGTAGTCAAAGATTGTATAAGAGGCAGTAGAGTATTAGAAAAAAAATATGTTTTTTTTAGCGTCGGCGTCCTTTGTTTCTTATGAACCGACTTGACATGAAAAAGCGAAGAGTATATCGAACAACCTATTAAATTTCATGAAAGCCTTGCAAGAGAGTGAAGGGCAGCTTGATAAACCAGGACTATGAGTGCCGCCGCGATTGACCAGACCTCAAAGGAGCAATCTCGTGAGAATCTAGTTGCTGTATGCGGGTCGATAGGTTTTAAATTTCATGAACACCAAGGAACGGCCATTTGAATATATGTATGTATAGGTGCATGTGATAACGCGCGCAGTACCCGTGAAAGAAACGTTTCTCATCATCAGTCATCGTGTCGCTGAAATCTGGCTACATGTTACTTCACTTTTCTTATCTTTATCTAAAGGAAATTCATGTAATTTAAATCTCTTGACTTAGAAAACGCTTGTAAAACAACAACTTGGAACGTTCGTTTAACATTTTAGAGTTAAGTAAAGTATACTAAAATGTCGTTTTAAAATGCGTACGTCAGTACTTATTTTTAAAAATTTAGACGCAAAAATTTAGTCGTTAATAAAAGCTTTTACTGAATTTATTAAAAATTTACACACGGAAATTTAATAACTAACAAAAGTTCACTTTTGTTTCACAATCAGTCGTCATATTTAAGCTGGTATTAAAGTTACGTTATTATAAAACGAAAGCAATATTTAAGAAAGAAAATTCCGTTATGATTAAATGAAGAAGAAAAATGTAACATTCTTTTGGCTTTGATTCTGACTCTATGTATAGAAGTATAGAATATCAGAGATAATTCTATTCTGCTCATTAATAACTTAAAATTTTTTAATACGTTTTGTTCGTAGTTGTTGTAATTAATTAATGCTCATGCGTTTGCAAGGCAATGTAATTTCGGATAAGCACGCTGTTGTGTTTGCGGCGGTGAGATGCATTTTTAACGATGCGGCTTGATGACGTATAAAAACGTATATAAAATGGTTTCAGCAATTGTTCAAATTTTTCTGAAAACATGTTTTATGATCTTAAATATTATATTCAAAAAGGCTAACATGTTAAATGTGTTAAATAATTAACCATATTATATTTATTAATTTATTGTTTGATCTTTATTTAATTACTTTGGCGCTACTGAGGAATCATTTATTGTGAAAGTAAATTATAGTTTGCACTATCAAAAAGTTCAATATGATGCAGATATAAAGTGATGCAAAGCATTAAATTTTGATAAGTTCTTCGAGATTAATGCTTATCCACGCAGCTTCGAAATAAGTGATTTCAATAGCACCGATATCTCGAAGAGCATTCAGATTAATAAGATCTTTTTCGAGCTCAGTAATAAGTGCGTTATAATTGCTCTTACAACGAAGATGCGATTCACATCTTTAAAGACGACGGAACGATGTCGGCTGACGAAAATACCTTCATGAGAATCGACCGCGGAAATTATCTCCGCGACGCGTAAGATTCATCTGAAATTCGCCAAAGCAAATTTGATTCGTTATTGGCAAAAGTGGATTAATCCTCTTTTCTACTCAACGAGATCTATGGTTTTCAACTTGGACGCGAATAGCGTTCGTGAACGATGGAGAGGATTTTCGAGCGCAGACGAATCATAAATTATCGATCCGCGCGACGTTCGCTTTCGCGCACTTGCTCGGCTCTTATCAGGCGATTTGCGTAATACGTTAATTAGACATTAAGTGCTCGGTAACCAGGTACGAACCCGGAAGAGTAACGGCAACGCCTTTAATGGATGTGGGTTATTTAATTTGCGCGGGGTGTAGAGGAAAGGGGGGGGGGATGATGTTTGGCGGTACGGCTCGGCGCGGTTTATACGCGGAAAGGCGCACCTTCATCCTGTTTCCGTCTGGAGAGCGCAGTTTCATCCCTCCATCCTTCCTCGTCTTCCACCTCATCCTCGCCTTCGTTCCCATCGCCACCTGTATACGCTCACACACGCAGGAGGAGAAGCGACCCACGAAATCTCCCACCTTCGCCGTGCGCATCTCCCCGAGCGCTCGCATCCCTCCGCTACTTCCCCCCCTTTCGTCCCCCATGCCCCCGTCACCCAGTCCCTTTCGCTAGCTACCAGCCAGCAACCACCCGCGCTTTTACTATTGTCTGACTATTGTGCCGCTGTTACCGCGGTGTGTCGGTTCGTTTGTATAAGGGTGATTCATTTTCTGAGAAATATCAGTTCCTGCACCGCATGAATTTCGACTGCCGCGAACGCGTAAAACCGCTGTGCGCGGGGGAGGATTGTCTCTCCTGTCTACCTCCTCTCTTCTTCTTCCTCTCTTTCTCCCCTCTCTTCTCTCTCTCTCTCTCTTTCTACATCTCTTCTCGTCCCGTCGGGCGAATTAAGCCTTTCGTGGACCTTTCTCCAGCCAAACACATAAATGCATGTATATTCACTTCTCGGAGACGTTATTTCACTTGAGAACGGTGCTTTATTTCGGCGAGCATATTCCCGCGGGAGTAATTTTGTAAATTAAAATTGCGTCTTTTGCTACTTCGTTATCGTCTCGCGAGCTCGTAACTTTCGTGGCTTCCTCGAGAGTCGGTCGCCTTCTTCCGCGCGGTAATTAGAAATTGCGGAGTCTAATGGATTCCAATGGACAAATCGTGAACGGGCGGCGAAGCCGGGCTACCATTCGACGTGAGCGAAATACACGAACGGGTCTTCTCCCCTTACGTTTAACGCGTAAGTATAAAATAACGCGTCGTCGGGGCTCATAAACCGGTACCCTTCTAAATTGCGGAACCCCAGTGCTCGCCCGTGCTGCAGTCCGGTAGCGGTAAAACGGCCCGCCTCTCCCATCTCCATTTTCTCTACCCTGCCTCTGTTTGTTTGCGTCTCGTTTGCACAGAACCGCGCGCGCGGGCGCTCGCTGCCGGGGGTTGCATTGTTATGAAATTAGGTCGTCCGCTTACTGCAATGAGATACGCCGCTCGTCCCGGTGTCGAGCGCTATGAAAATTGGCCGCGCAACCAGCTCGTCTAGTCTTTCCCGTCGCGGAACTAGGCCGGACGAGCTATGGAGGAATAGCGAGAACGATAGTCTTGCCCGGAAAAAAGTTCTGGTTCAAGCTGTCGCTCTCCCTTCCCTCCGTCGGAAGAATATGAATTAACAAATGACGAATAATCGGGATTGTAGTAGTTTAAGGCCCAGTTTCACAAGTTTTGGTTAACTTTTAATCTTAGATTAACTCACTCTTCGTCTCCTTCTAACGTCCCCCTTAGAAAGAGACGAAGAGTGAGTTAATCTAAAATTAAAAGTTAATCGACACTTGTGAAACTGGGCCTAGGAGTATGATATTTTAACCAAATATATTCGCGTAACTCTTGCCGGTAAATATAGCGATCAAGAATATTTTTCAATACGTAAAAGAATTAGAAATTGTCTTAGAAATACGTCTTAGAAGTGATCTTGAAGCGTAAGCAAGAACGAAGATTATATCGATACATTTCTTTCCGAATTAGGAAACACTTTGTGTAATTGCTATTTGTAGATTGCAATTGCGTCCGATCGGTCACAATTGTCACAATATTGTAATTACTACAATCGAGTAGATTGTGATCGATCGGAGAACATTCATAAAATATTCAATGCAACCAGAATGCCCTGGGCTTTGTTTCGCGAGGTTAAAGCTCCGCTGCGTACATGTAATTATTAGACGCTATTGTCGAAGAATAAAATTTAATAAATCTATTTGATAAGCCCGAATTAAATTTCTCTCAAAGGATCGACCTTATTCAATCGACGTTCAATTCTGCGGTAATGTGTGAAATACATATTGATCTGATTATTCATCCGTAATTATTTATACGTATTTAATTATGATAGAGTATATATAATTATGATAAATCGCGATTTATCTATTCTGATATTCTTATCATCTAATGTCATTTGACTGTCATTCTTCTTTAACTATCATTATTTGATGCTAATGTGTACCCGGTTGTATTAAAGCAACGAACAGGAAATCTCTCTTCCATCAAAAGAACAGCACTTTGTAAAAAATTGCGTTCACGGAGAGCTTTGAACAACTGTACGAATGTGAATCCACGGGAAAAATGTCGCTCACGAGGGATGATTAACGAGCCAACTCTAATAGGCCACTTTAATCGTATTTAATTAGCAATCGCGTAATTTATTCGACAAACGTGCGGGACATGGGGTTGTCTCTTCACCATCGTGCACCACCCTTTCATGCGATCTACGCATCCTGTACTTTCACATGCTAATTCCACCTGATAGCTCCTTTTGCGATCTTAACTTTCACGGCCGACTTCGTTAAATCATCCAGTTTTTCTCGCTTTTAAAAACCACGTTACGCTGCAGCGAGTAAGATCTAAATTTATTTATCGTTTAAGATCTTTATCATGCAGGATCTCAGCGTTTTCAATTATTCTAATGAAAGCAATGATTTTCAATAACGGTGAGAACCTTTCTCGCATATATCCGGAAGCTAGACTTGAAGCACTTCGTCTGATAGATACTTCGTCTTAAACAAAATAAATAGGTTCATTTTTCACGATTCCCGCGATTGCCGGTAAAAGCTCCTAGACTAAGAATAAGTACTAAGATTAATTCAATAAAGCGGCGCGGACGTTAGAATTTTAGCTATACCGCGATGAATCCATTGTGTACACTTTACTTATGTCGAAGCGCGCCCCTTCGCTGCGATTCAGCGAGTAATTCCTGTAAAAGCTGCTGTAGTGACTTTACTCGCTAAAGTGGCCCCCAGCAGCCGACGCTATTTCCATGCTTGAAACTATACAAACTGTAGAATGAATCGCGCACATATCGCGCGAAGCATCACTATTTTATTCAATGAAGCGAACTAGGATACCGTGGTTTATCTCAACGAGTTCGACAAGTTTTATCAAGTGAATTTCCATTATACGTATATTCTATCGTGTACAAATATTATATGTACCTATATATGAGATTTTTCAACAAAATGTACGACACGCGTAATAGTACGTTCCGTTCTCAGAAGAATGGTTGATTAAAAATCGCAGACGTCGATTCAATAATATACCTTTACTACTGTGAACGGTTCAATGTTATACTTTTACTGCGTGTATTGAGAACGGTTGTAAAATAACCAATATTACCTGCAAGGCTAATATTTGGGTATAATTTAATTCAATATAGTAATTTATTAAATTTTATTATTATTTTATTAAGTACAAAATATATCTATACTGCAATTAAGTGCGTTTTCTACATAATTACTCATCTAATGAGAGATTTATACATTTTCTGTTTCGTAGGTTCCAACGAGTTAGCTTCATGCATTTCTCATTTAAAAGTTCTTACATTTTTAACACCCGCATGTTAGGATTTCTGTCTCTAATTCTCCTAAAGGAAAATCTCTCAGCGCAGTAGATAATAATGTACCGTCGTACTTCCCACAAACTCGCGGCAGAAATTCACCGATAATAGATTAATATATTACAGATCTATTATATATTGTCCTCACGTGCTGTATATTAAATAATATTAAAAAATTATAGAACCTTTTATAACAACGAATGACGCTCATTGTATAATAATACCACAAAAAAATTATACAAGATGCAAGCTTGCATCACACATAATTAATACACTAATAACTTATTCTTGAGTTACCCTATATTGTGTCTACCGTGTGTAAAGCGAAAATAAATTGACCGTATGTGGCCATCCATTTCTTTGTCGAAGTCTTTCAAGATCGGTTCGCCTAACTCAGAAACTCCGTCGAGGTCGATAATTTATTTCGTAACTTCGTCGTTCGTGACCTGTTTTCGATGTATTTGCAGATCAGGAACCCCATCTTATTGTTTGTGATACACCCTCATACATACGCGCGTTTGCACGCATATATCATATGAAATGTCAATATGTCATTCTCACGAACCTATAAATTTCATTGAAATACAACATTGCGTATACATTTACACTATCGAAGTTCAATTTTTAGAAACTTTTTCCTTTTTGGTGTAAAAAAAAAGATTGCCGATAATTATATTTTACTACGAAAACT